CAAAGTGAGAGGTGAGAGGTGAGATGCAAAGACACCAATGATCCTCCAATTAAACCCAAAAAGGGAAACATCACCTAACCCTAGTTACACATGCACATGAGGGTGATACGAGATGTGGGTGTGTTCAAGGTATTTGTGTAACCATCAATGCAAACCTGTTTTCACCTTGTGCTCTTGAGCTTTTGCTTTTTGCTGCTGTTCACGCGACCTCACACGCCTTCTTTTATGCATTTTTATTTTATTTTATTTTTATTCTCTTCCTTCCCTTTGCTGTTTGTGCTCTACACTAGAACATACTGTACTAGTACACTATCTGCCTGTTTACCATTTATATTTTATAATCAAAAACCTCTTATCCCCTTCTTCCACCCCCTCAACCCCCCATCACCACCACCACCACCGTCAGTCTCAAATGAAGATCTCTTCTATCCTGAGGCTAGCCTACGCTCTAGCAGGCGCTCAGCTATCGCAACATCCGCCCAATCCACCTGCACATCCCCTCAAGACGGAAAGATCTGTCTCTCAAACTGCAAGGGTGCAGGTTTCTTTGTCACCGCTCCTCAACTCATCAATGGTATCGAGCTTGGACCCACTTTTCAGCTTGATTTTGACCCGCTACCGGTGCCGCAAAGGCTTCAGTAAGGGCGTCAAGGTTGGGTTGTCGTTGCCAGAGTCGTTGAAAAAGGTTGATCTGGACTTTAGTGGGCTAAGCTAGGATTCAGGTATTTACTTTTCTGCTTCGCGTAAAGCTGTGTGGGTTTACTGAGCATGCATGAAATGCCTTACCATAGATGACTGACACTCATTCTTGTCATTGTTTCATTCAACAGGTCGGCGCTCCCGGCGGCCCATGGTTGGTCTCCTCAACCTCCCCGACTTTGTCGCCGCCAACGGCACCTCCCTCGGCGGCAACGTCCAACTCGACATGGACCAAGTCTCCTTCAGCGCTCTCAACGACGCGGTTTCCAAGAGCTCTTTAGAACCATCACCCTCGCAGCGGTCCCATCCAACTCGAGCTCCAAGGTCACGCCGGAAACAGCGCCAAGGTCCGGAACGCGGTGAAGCCGCTGCTGGTGACGACCCTGCTGTGTGTCTCGAGTACGTTGGATTCACGGCTGGATCTCAGCTTATCGGTCTAACGGACTCAAGAGGCCACGATCATGGGGCTTCCAAAGATCGTTGGAGGGTCCCCAGCTACGGTATCGAGTTGTTGATTGACCTCAAGGTCATCAACCCTTCGAACGTTATCCTTAACCTCAATCGGATGTTGTGCTTGACCTCGTCTTCAAAGGTGAAAAGTGTGGAACCGTTGTCCTTCCCAACATGTCGCTTGCGCTCGGTGAAAACAACTTTGCCGCCAAATCGTTCATTTTCCCTGATAAATCCAACATTAAGGCACTTATTGCGACCAAGGACCTCATGTCTAGGTTTACGGGAAACACGGAAGTGATGTGCTTGTAAACAATGGAAGAGCTGCAAAAGCTCCTGTTCTTAACGCCGCGTTAGGGGCCGTCAGCATTTCACAAAGCTTCCTGCTAACAAGGAGCTCCTCATTAAGGTGGTTTTTCTTTTCTTTTCCTCTTGGATGACTCTTTAATTAACACATCTATTTTTTTTTTTAGAAATCTACTGCAAACGTCTCTAGCCTTTCTTACAGCTCCAAGGCCGACTCTTCCATTGAGATGATGGCCAACATTGGTGCCTTTAACCCTTTGACACCCCTGTCTCCATCACCAACATTCAGTCAACCCTCAGGTAAGCTTTTTTTCCTTTTTTAATCTATCGTTCTACTTTTTTCAAACACCTGCTAACCTGTATTAAAAATCTATAGCTACAAAGGCAAAGACTGCATCGCTGCCAATGTCAAGGTTGACAACTTTAAGCTCCCGGCAAAGGGTGAAGGCGTCAGCCCTCAATTCAAGGTCAAACTCGACGGTAAAGTCGACCCCTTTGTCTGTGGTGCCGAACTCGTCATCCTCACGCTCGGCAAACGGTGACGTCAAAGTTGATGTCAAGAGCACCCTCACTCTCGACATCGGTGGCTACCCTAGTGTCATCGACTGTAAGTTTTACTTCATTTTGCTTTCGTCGTCAACTTTCCAACCAACACACTTTTAGAACCAACCCAACGTTCGCTGTCGAATCCACCTCCTCTCCCTGCTCAGGCTCCGAACCCGGTTCCTACTGCCTCGGCGACTGCAAAGAAGACGGTCTTAAACTCCCCATGCCCTCCCTCTCATTGAAAACATTGTCCTCCCCAACTTCAAGCTCGAATTCGATCCCATCAACTCCCCTCTTGTCCCCAAAGCTACCGCCACCGACGTTTCGTCAAGCTCGGTGTTCCCGAATGGCTCTCATACATCAACTTTGCCTTTTCGGGTGCAGGCGCTTCCATCGCTATCGGGGCTCCCGGTCCGTTGATTGCGCAGATTGATACCCCGGATTACGAGACGGCTACGGGGAGCATCAAGGAGGGAACTGTTGGGCTTAACATTGTTGAGAAGGATTTTAAGGCACTCAGCAAGGAAGGCATGGAACAACTTTTAAAATTCATCACCCTCAACTCTGGACCTACCCCCGTCCGCATGAAGGGTGTCGCCAACAACAAGGCCAAGTTCCCGGCTCCCTTTGACAGAGGTGATGTTTGTCTCCGTTACATTAACTTTGATATTGTCTCCACCTCTCTCATTGGACTCGGTGGACTCCGCGACACCGTCATCACCGAATTCCCAAAATCACCTCTGCAAACCCGACCAAGGGGATTGAACTTGAAGTGCCCCTCGCCATCACCAACCCCTCCAACATTGTCCTCCACGCCAACGCCGACATCACGATGGACTTTGTCTTTGACAAGCAGAAGCTTGGAACTGTTGTGCTTGAAAAGTTTAGACTCGAGAAGGGCGTCAACAACCTCAAGGCCAAGGCGTTTGTTCACCCGGATCCTACCAACGTGCCACAATTGTTGGCGACCAAGAAGATGTTTTTCGCAGTTCACCGGGGGTGTTGTGTCCGATGTGACGGTTGGGAACGGGAAGGCGGAGGGATTGGAGTTGTTGGATGCTGCGTTGCAGGCTGTCAGCATCCCGCAAAAGTTACCCGCGAACCAGGACAAACTCATCATTGTAAGTCTCCCATTGCACACCATTATTGTTTGTCCATGTCAATGTCTCTTTTCTTGTACTTAACTTTTCTTCCAGGACGCTGTCGCTAATGGTCTCACCCTCGACTACCCCGCCACTTACCCCGATACCGGCCTCCCGAACGACCTCGGCCTTTTCGCCACCCTCGAAGCCAGTCTCACTGCATACAACCCCTTCCACGTCCCCGTCACCATTGTCAAAGTCACCGGCAAGCTCTTCTACAAAGGCATCGCATGTCTTCTCATTGACACCCCTGTGAAAGGATTCACCATCCCCCCTCGTTCATCCATCGTCTCACCCCCGATCCTCACTGGGTTCGATAACAGGGAAGACCCTAGAGACGACAGTCTTTGCAATGAGTTTTTGGGAAAACAGCTTTCTGGGGAGAAGAGTTTGTTGGAGTTGAGGAACACTTTGACGATTGTGATTGATAAAGGGTATTTGAGTCAGATTGATTACGTGCAAAAGGATGTGTCGGTTTCCACAAGTTTCTAGAAACCCTCTCCCCTCTCCCACTTAAATATTTGCTTGTTGAGCCTCTTTTTAGTTAACTTCCTTTCCTTCAAACCTTTGAAGGGGATATTCTACCTCATCGTCCTTTTTTTATACTTTTCTATGCCTCTTCTTTCTCTTTTTTGTGTCTTTGCTGATCGTTACCCGTTTTCTTCATTTGAAAGTTTATCTTGTGGTTTGTGCACCCCTGCAAGGCGTTGCCCCATTTTGAGAACGTATAGAATAAAAAGCCTCTTTATGTTTATTTTGTATGCGTTTTAGTTTACTGCCATGTAACTAGAGCATGTTGAGGAAAACCTTAGGTCGATGGCTGTCGGTTTTTCAGAGCTTACAGGTGATCTTTCATCAAGTGTCATACATATTGACTTGAACCAAAAAGAAAATCGAAAGCTAAGATAATCATACATCTTTAAATATATATTTTTTTCGTGCCTTTAATTAGAATAGCGAGACATTAATGCTATTTTTTATACATCGGCGAGGTAGCGTTTTAGAGCTTCTTTGCAGGCGTAGTCTTGGAATGGGCAGTCGAGAAGACACTCTCTATTTGAGGACATTCGCCGGACGAGGTTGAGAAACACTGAGCGCTGTCGAGTCAGAAAAAGTGGTCGCATAGTCATTGTGTGTGGTGATCTCTGAAAATGTTTTCGTGGAATCTCTAACGCTCAACACCTTCCCCAAACACACGTCATCAACGAGGATCTATGCACGAGTAAGCCTTTAAAATTTCAGCAACCGTTACCTTCTTGCTCGTAAACCTATACGCTGCATCTATGCGGTTTGCTTGAAGGACCGCCATAGCTGGACTCAGATGACGGCTTCGAAGCCAAGCGGATTTTTGGGGATTCAAGAGTATGGAAAGGTAGGAAACCATTTTTTTTTTGGAGAATGAGCTGATGTTATGATGATACTACAGATGGGGCATGCGAAAGATGTTAAAAAAGTTGTTTTACAATTCCTGGTTGTGAAAATAACGCGATGGTGGTGACTCCTCAATTTTAGATAATTTACGCATCATTCTTTGTTTTCTTTGATTGACGTGATGAAGCTGCGCTAATCCCAGCGTTCTACACACTATATGTGACGTGATGTCAAGAAATCAATCAGATGGGAATATCGCCATCTCAATTGGCTTTGCCTGAATGCCAACCAACATTTGATCACCCCCCTAAAATCCGCGTTGTTATGCTCATAACGATAACCGAATTATCCGTTTTTCTTTATTGGCTTTCTTGCTCCAGCAGGACCGCTAAGAAGAAAAGGAAGAAGCGCAAAAGGCTCAAACGACCAGGTTAAAACAAATTTTAACAATATATAGTTACAAAAACAAAATTTGAAAGAAATTGAGGTCCAGTGGCGAAATGGTTATCGCCAGTTCGAGACCAGCATTTTCACAGACGACACCGAAAGATTGCAGGTTCGATCCCTGCCTGGATCGATTTTTTTACACGGATCTCTTTCTTGAACTTTTTTTATATCATTTTGGATGCACTTTTTACTAGCTCCTTAAGGCTGACGAGTGCGCCGGCATGTGAATGCCACGACTTTAAAATATTCAAACTAAAGATCCCCTCGATAGAGGAAAAAAAAGGTTGTTTTGCGTTGAAGCAAAAGTAATACAACAATGAGTGAGCAGATACAATTATGGCAGAGAGCGACAAAGGTATCAAAAAAAAAAGGCTATTATTGAAGCGCAACTACAAATCCATCCCCCGGCTCATCATCTTTCACAGTCCTCTCTTCATCACCAACACCAGCAACCAATTGTCTATTCATCTTCTGACTCTCAAACACAGTACAGTTGATATACATATCATCAGTTTGCTCAAGCGTGAGACCCTTAGTTTCGTAAACAAAAATGCAAAGATGAGTTCTCCAATGCACGTTGACCCCAGATAAAAAAAGACTTTGACACCAAGGTTGGCGTTTCTGGGACCAGAGTCAATCATGTAGGGGGTGATGAAGGCGATGATAAAGTTCCAGAGCCAGTTGGAGGCAACCGAAAGGGAAACGGCTTTAGCGCGAATGTTGAGAGGGAAAATTTTCACCTTCAAAAATGTACGTTATATACGAGAAAGGAAAAAAAAGGAATAGTGAAAAAATGTATTTACCTGTAACAATCCACGCAATAGGTCCCCAGTTGAGGCAAGATAGAAAATGTAAAGGTAGATAAAGATTGTTAGGACGTAAGTTGATGCGGTGGTTGATTCCGGCCGTAATACCGACGATGGCGACTATGAATTCACAGATACCCATCCCGGCGGCTCCGATGAGAAGAAGGTTACGGCGACCGATACACTCGACGGCAAACATACAGGGGATTGTGGATAGAACGTTGACGAGACTGATGATAATGATGAGACGGAAGGGTTGGACGAGGCCGGTACTTTTAGAGAAGGTCGTTCCTAAATAACATTTAAATATAAAATAAATCTGTCAAACAAAATAAAGTTAATCGCATCGGTGCTAACCATAGTAGAATATAAAGTTTACACCCGTAAGCTATTGGCAAGCCTGAATGATGATTCCAGTCATTGTTCTTTTGAGAATCTTTGAGTCGTTATTTCTAAAGCAGTCTCGGTTGGACATCTCCCCAAATTCCATCTCGCGCTCATGGTGAGCCATAATATTCTTAAGCTCCTCCATGATCAGCACATTGTCAGGAGTCGACCCGTTCAGGCGGCATAAAGATCTGATTGCCATATCCATCTTTCCGCATTTAACGTACCATCTTGGAGACTCTGAAAGTGCAATCATGCCTGTCGCGAGGATGAACGCCAGGAGGATTTGAATGCCAATGGGAATCTGATATGCGGATGCATCGGGGCGGTTTTGCGTAGCGTTGTTGACAATCTAAGCGAGGAGAATGCCCACAGTAATAGCAAACTGATAGCAAGTGATGACAGCGCCACGGATCCACTTTGGTGCGGATTCTGATTGATACATGGGTACTAATGTCGACAAAATGCCCACCCGAGTCCAGAAACCAATCTTTCCAACACAAAGAGTACAATCTCAAATGCACCTGTCTGCATCGCAACACCCACACAGAAAACAGTGGATGCAATAATCACTCCCAATTTACGTCCACATCAATCGGCTACAACAGATCCAAGGAGCGCACCGATGACTTCTCCGACGGCGAGGATGGAAACGACAACAGCTTTAATCTCCGGTTTGATGACCTATGGATTGTTCACGGCATCGGCCGCGTCAGGGTTTGAAGATCCGAATTGTCTCATCAATATGCAGGCATCGCGATAGCCCCAGCAGTAGAACCTGAAGCCATGTTTTGTGAGCTTTAAAGCTGCAGCACACTGAAATCACACACAGCAGCTGGATGGGACGGACATACCTGAATCATAACCGAAAAGAATTCCTCCAAAGGCTGCAAAAAGGGTAATCAGGATTCCTGAGAGCGACGACCTCTTCGATCTTCGAGTATTCCACTTGTTTCGACATGTGAAAAAGCTTAAAGAAGCTCACTTGGGGTGAAAAGATGGAAGAAGAAAGTCAAAGACCAGTAGACTTCCATCGTACTCTCGTTTTAATGGCTTTGCAGGTGGATAAGTTCCTGGTCAGGCTCAATACAATCAAGAATACTCAGAGTCATACGACACAAAAGTGTCACTCAATGAGGTAAAGTCAATTTCTGTCCGTTGGCCATCATTTGGGCTTGCTAGAGTCTAGGAATTCTACCTGTGCAAACACTCCCAATAACTTCCCCATTGACTCGCCAACTTCAGCCCCAGCACCCGATAAGGATCGAACATTGTTTTAAATGTTACCTCATATCTATGGAAGAGTGGCATCTGCGGCGAGGGTACCACTTTCTTCCAGGCACGCATCGACGGATCCGACGTTGGAGGTGTTTCCTGGTTCAAACTGAACATTTCAAGAGTCGGTAAAGCAAGGTTTATACTCGTGTAGTAAGGATGTTGGTAGCACACTGATTTCTGTTCGGATCGTACGACATCCAACCGATCGATTTTCCTGAGGTTGATCGAGGCAAAACAGGCAACCCGCAGTAGTAACCAACGCTCTCGACAATGCGGTGCAGACGTAGAAGAAGATCTCTGAGAGAGAGTGAAATAGTTGAGTCGATGTCAACATAAATATCGGTGGATGAACAACAACAACAACAACAACTTTGTTTCGCTGTTCGTTGCAATGTCGTTGTTGCTCATTTTTTGAGATTGCGAATCTGGATTTGAATTCTCAATGCGTATCCGCTCTCCAATCACTTTCGTATAAACCACAGGAGCCTCATTCTCAAAAAAAGAAAGGCACCCAGTGTTTGACCACGAAACCCACCCGTCCAACACTCAAAAAAGAAAATTGCGAATAAACTTTGGGCCAAAATTCGACTTCAGGAGGATAAAGGGGACTGATTGGTCTTGTCTACTTTACCGAGTATCCACCCTCGATTCACTTTGAACACACCCGAAGGGCCCTGGAAAGATTTTCTCTGCAAAAGAAAAGGGGAACGGCAAAAACTCCAACAAACTATGAACGGCATAGATGATGGGCCTGGCCCAGCCGTTGTTCCAGCTTACTTGCCTCTGATTAGTCTGTCGGATGAGGGCAACAACAGAACAGATCCTGCAGCTCCGTCTTCAGCAATGGCTGGCTCCATTGGGCAGATTAACCTCCGCTCCGCAGCAGCAGATGAAGCTCGCTGGGACATCAAGCGGTTCAAGAAACACTGCAAAACGGTGATACTGGAAGCAGCAGAGGATCACGGCATTCAGCCGCATCGAATGATCTATGCAATGGCAGGCAGAGTCTTTGTAGTCACAGCGCCAAAACCCATTGGAGGAAAACCGTCACCTGGATTTAAAAAGTTTAGGGGCGAGACTCCAGAGGAGCTTGCGAGTTGGATTCTGGATAAGGCCGTCGAACCACCGCTTTCTGGGAGAGGGAGAAAAAAGGTCCCACCTGGCACTATCTTGAGATTCATCATTGGTCAGATTAACGAGCTTTTAAGAATGAAGAAGGATGGTGAAAAGGATGCCTTTGACGATGTTGTCTTAAAAGGCATGTTTCGATCTGGGCATCTCCCTGAAACTGGAGGAAAGATTGTGCTGCCAGAGTATTTGCGGGATAAGTCATTGGGTATGCTTAACACGTCTTTCATCTGTCTCCTTTATTGTTTTCAACTGGGGATCTTGAATTTTACCTTTGCGTTGCTGTACCAGATTATATCGAGCCTCAACGTTTAATATAAATCATTCTAACGCCACTCCATCCTTCCAGCACATTCATCAAGAGCAACAACGTCTTTATATCCTGAACGCACTCAATCAAATTCTCCAGGCAAAAACAAAACCTCAAGACCGAGAAGCGAAAGCCATTCCGAGGATTCTGAGCCACCATCATCTAAAAAGAAAAGAAATCGTAGCGACGATGCCCCTGCTTCCTCCAACACCTCCCCGGAAGATTCGGTAAGAACATCGATCAAAGAATGATATCAGTGTTCTAATCTGTTTTTTCACTGCACTTCAGCCTTCTATTCCAGAAAAATATCAACAACTCCCTCCCCAACCCTATAATTACTTTACATATGGTCACGGATACCCTTCTTACTCTCATAACCCCTACCCTCATTACCCATACCCTCCGCCTTTTCCCGACATGACCGCTGCGCAACAACGGCCCAACCATTCATCCACCTCTGCTTCAAACTCCACCCCTTCCTCCTCAAATTCCACCGCTGCAACATCCGTTCCCAACAATGCATTACCGCCAGGCTCTTCAGCCCGGCAAGGAAATCCTCGAATGTACGGAATGGATCAAGGATACCCATATCCTCCGTACATGTACGGCGCGTATCCTCCCCATTTTCAACCACAGGTGATTCCGAAAACTGAAGATTTAGGGGGAAACGATGGAAGTGGAGAAATGAATGAGAAGATGACAGGACGTGGGGTCGTTAGATTGGGAAATAGGTGTCTCTGTACATAACTGTTGCGAGTACCGTATATGGTGTCCTTGGACGGAAACCTTGTTCGAATTAAAATTATTTCGCGAGTTGCAAAAATAGAACTTGTTGCTTCTTCTTAAAATCAATAAAGTCCGAATCTATACAAAATCGCGTTGCGTGATTTTATTTCATTTAAATTAAAAAAAAAAAAAAAAAAAAAAAAAAAAAAAAAAAAAAAAAAAAAGGGGGGGGGGCATTGTTTTTACGCCAAAAGTCTTCACTATTTCTTACGTATAAATACGATCGGGCAGAATATTTGTTGTAGAAGACTGGCTTGGCCAAATAACCAAACGATATGTAGTATAGACATGATCATAAAATTCGAATGATATGCGTTCGGAGCGAACTGAACTGTATATCCTTCTAATAAGTTAAAAGGATAAACAAAAAATGTAGTGAAGGATTACTAGCAACTTTTAAAGACGAGACGATGGCATGAAACTTTAAGAAAACCT